AAAGCAAACAAGTGTGAATTTCCACTCTGCCTATCAGATGACTCGTCTCTCAGTGTTCTTTGAAAGGCTTTGATTTCTGCAGTCACTTTTCACTGAGATATCGAAAGGTGCTCTGCGAGGGCTGTGTCTGAATAAACACACAAATCTCTTCTATTTCCCACTTACTTTTATCGCAAAGGTCCAGGTTGTGCTGGTCTATAGCAGCCTGGCCAAACAAAGCAACAAGATGAAATACCCTCTTTGTCTGAAAAAGTTTGATTCTTGGAAATTAAGCCTCCAAAGACACATGATGTTACACTGCTTATATACAAGGATGTATTTATTGTCATGGTGGGAAACGATTGGATGTATAAGTATCAAAGAGACTGAAGCCAAAAGACCCTGAAGATCATCCCAGCTTTTGTTTTACCAACTACATCTTGGTAACATTTACTAAATTCAATGTCACAGGAAGAAATCCTGTTTCTGAAAAATAAAGTTTATACAACTGACTTGCAGCAATGTTTTGAGAGTAATGTAAATGCTGTTGGATTGTGCTTACTATTAATGTAATGAGGACACAGTGCTAATTAACAGTTCTGTTAAATCACAAACATGTTGAAACAGAGCATATCAGTAACATGCTCACAGACAGCGTATCTAAATACCGGATCTTGCGCCTGCACTGACTACAGGGTAACATGACTAAAAATAGGTACAGCTGTAAAACAAACATGAGCAGTCAGACAATCCTATGTGCTGTCGGCAATACATTCATTTAATCAGCCAAAAAAAATAAAACTGTGGTGACCCTGTTTGGCAGGAGGAAATAATTTGCCAGTGTCATTATAAATCACAAAATATTAGTTTTGTGATTTCACAATGTTAATACTTGGTTAGGTTTAGGATAAGAGTGCAGATTGAAAAAAAAAAACTTTGGATAAAGTTAGGGAATAAAATGCAAAACATGACTGGTTTGTTAAGGTTAGGGGATCCTTGTTTTCATGGTTACAATAATAACCATGTGGTTAAGGTTAGGAAATGAATGAAGTTATGGTCGAAGGTTGGCTGGTTTCTTCTACAAGACTGTCAGTTATTCTTTCCTCAGTGTAATTTCCACAAAATGTACGGTACCACACTACATGTCTACATGCAACTCAGTGAGTAATAGGTCACATAAATGGCCAGACATAAAAATGAAAGAATACATTCACATTGTTTCTTTCTCTTACTATTTGCCCTTGAGAATTTGCAGGTTAATGTTTAACAAAGGTTAACTTTGACAGACTTTGGCAGAGCCACAGGCCAGGGCTCAATAAAAGGTAAAGTCAAGGTGAGCTTTCACAGTCTGAACCAAGTTGAAGTGAAGAACTGTGCAGACAAGAAGGCACAAAGATGATCATTAAAATCCAAGCCGTACTGAGAGAAACAGCCAAGGAGGCTGAATAACACATAGGCAACGTGTCTCCCTGGTCACTGGGCCTCAATGCCTGAACAGATGTTGACTCAGTTGCACAATACCAATCGATTAGCCTGTGTAGACAGAGAGTGCCATGGCTGGC